TAGTACATATTAAGTATATTGAAAAAAAAAGAGAGAAGAAGTCTATAAGACTCGAGCATACACTTTATAGGAATTGATCCCCACTAACTAATCGTCATACCCATTACGTCGGAGACGCGTGGATCATTATTTAAAAAAAATATAACATTGCATTGCATGATTGATGAGTTGTCAATTTTTTATTGGTTAGGACAGCAATGACGTGGCATCTCTCTAATTTCTCACGCTACATAAGATCCAAGTCAGTGGCAATCTTGTAGACGGACGTCCAGCACAATTTAGCCTTTCTCAGCGAACCAACTGCTTTCACTGCACAAACAAATGTTTTTTCAGCTTCCACTATTTTCACTGCCTTCATTCTTCTGTCCGTTATCCCATATTTTCTAAGGTAAAGTAAATGATAAGCTTCTTGTTTATGTGGCTTTACACCTATCTATTCCAATCCCCATTTTCCTTCTCCATTTAACGTTATTTTTCAGCATTTTGATGTTACGTGTTAACTTAAATTTATTTTTTTCTGCAGATTGCCTCATTTTTGAACAAAATCTCCTTCGTTTTCTGCAACCATCTGCACAAGTTTCACCAGATCCCAGGAAGTAAAATCCACTGCGTTTTTGCAACCCTCTGAAAACCTACTCAAAAGTCTCTTTTCTTTTCCCCAGATTTTCTCCGTAATCTTTTTTTTTCTTTTTAGCTTTTCGGATTTTACTTCTAGATATTGATTTTCTGCTTTTATAACTATTGCATTTTGGTTTCTACTTTATTTATATATATATATATATATGTAATTAATGAAAATTGATCTTGAAGGTACGTAGCTGGTTAGAAAGTAAGTACCTTCGGGCAATTCGGGGAGAAGTCTTAGTAATATTGTTATCCTTTCTTTCGTCGTTCAAATTCACTTAAGCAAGGTACATTTTATACCAACAATTAACTTTCGTATAAAATTCATTTATGTTATTACATTCATTCCTTTTGAAGCTGCTAATAATTACAATATCCTGTTAAAACTCCGAACATAACCAACCAATTGGTTTCGCTGCAGAATTAACAACTGTTGTCCCAGTCTCATTTCTGCTTTCCTTGCATTCCTCTCTTCATTGCCCCCATATTTTCCAAGGTAACTCACAACGTTCATGATCATGTGACTTTACAAATGTTTGGATTATCATTTTTCTTCTTAACTTTTTTCTTTTTTAGCCTTTCTGATATTATTTGCTAACTTTTTATCTCGTATTGTATTTAATTTCTGCAGATTATTGCATTATTTTGGTAAAATCTACTACTTTTTTTTGTCTCTCAGAAGCAGTAGTTTCACGCCAGCAGGTATAAATTTTAATTTAATTCCTATATATTTATAACCTTTATTTCTTTTTATGCTTTTGCTAGTTAACATCTC